TTCTTAGAGGAGAGATATAACAAACCCCAAAACCCCAAAACCCCAAAACCCCATGAAGCAATGCAATAATTTTATAGAGAGAAGGAATGGATGTATATAAATTTGATGCATCTAATTTCAAAAGTAATGATCAGGTGGGTTAAGGAGTTTGTTATATCTCTCCTCTAAGAATTCTTCTTCCAATAATTTCCTAACATCTGCTTCGATAACTGCAAACTCAATTGAAGGGCTGTAGTATTTCTTGACTTCTCCATATCTGTTGCAAAGTAACTATTTAAAAAATTATCTAAGGCTTGAAATATTGTTACCTTTGAATAATTTTCCTTTACCCGAATAGCTTTACCAATTTTAGGAGTAAATAACGAACAGTTTCTTCTGAGAAATTTGAATAGATTATCTGCTTCGTTCCCATTGACATCAAACTATAGAAAAGAGTTTTAAGCTAAGTAGAAAAAGTTAATAAATTTTACCTTTTATAAAAACTTTAAGTTAGAATTTGTTAAAGCTGGATTAAAGTAACCCCATATTTTAAGTGTATTAGCGATCTCTTTATTTCTCAATGGATTTCCTCCAGCAACATCATTGGGTAAAGCACCATATACACAGAAGCCCCTTTCCCCATACTTGTCAGTTAACAACTTAAGCTTTCTCAGTTATTCTGTAATCTCTTCCTTCTAACTTTCTTCGATTGATAGGTTTGTAAACAAAATCACCTAATATCCTTTGATTAGATCACATTTATTATGTATTACCTTGCCCTTATCAATTTCACCGACGCTTCTAGCTTTCTCCTCATCAAGGAATTTGACTTTAATTTGCATAACGGACCAAAATGGGTTGTCGACATAGTCATGGTTCCATTTGAATAAATCTAAAAGAGCACTCATTTTATCAGCAACTGAGTTAAATTAAAGAAATTAATTGATTAATAAATTAAGCAAGTTTAATTAATGGTTATCATTATTCATTATTATTTGCGTTGTTATTATTTAATTCATTTTGTATTGCTCTTTTAACTATCTTCAAGGACTGCACATATTTCTCAATACATTCGTCAATCATTTGCTGATGAGCATTTGTAAGCTTATTAGCGCCTACCTCAGGCATGTTTTTGCGCTTGAATACATGCTGGAAGCACATCTCAGCCATGTTATGCATGTTGAAAGTAAGCAGAGTTCTATCAATGTTTTTGAAAAAAACACTTTCTTCGCTTTCTTGTTTTTGGGACATTAAAATTATTATAATTAAGGAAATAATAATTAAATTGATAGATATAGGGAATAGGAAAGCTAACACAAATTCACTTGACTTCTGTTCTCATTTAATGTTCATTAGAGAATCAGCAACATCTGACTTCTTAGAGATGTGAAATCTATCTGGCTGCCATATTTTCCTTCTGCTCATATCTTTAAGAAGTGAAATCGTTTGTTTATAATTGTCTTCCTTAAAATTCTTGAGTACTTTAGGAGATAAGAAGTTGCTGAAGTCATAAGATTCTATTTCTTTCTTTAACTCCAAAATATCTTAAATTCTAAGGAAGCAGTATTAAGTAAATTTCTATCTTACTTTGGAGTTTGCTTAACTCCTATTTTAAGTAAATCTAAATAGTTATCTACTGCCTGCTTAATTTCTTCTTCTTATCTGACAGTCTCTTGCATTCTACAGTATGATAAATAAAAACTTTCAGTCTTACATTTTTGATCTATCTGTTTCAGTATTTTTTAGCCAGTTGGTATCCTCTGTGTCGCATAGATTTACAATAGAGCTAAGAGTATCATATTTTGAGTGCTGACTTTATTATTTTTCATTTATTGATGGCCTGATCTTTCTTGTATAGAAATCTGTGCTCATTCCTTAAGAGCATGAGGGACTCATAAAACTGACTCTTGTGGAATTATTAATAGATCCAATAGCTGTCCTTACATTTCTTCGACCTCTCTCTCTATGTTTTTCTTCTACTGAATGTCTCGTGCTTTAAGCTAGTTAAGGTTTAACTATTCCATAATCTAGCATAATGCTTTCATTTGGAGTATAATTTAATGCGTTCTCTTTCATTTGACTTCTTAACTTTGCCCTTTAGATTGTATTGTTCATGACTGAATCTGGTCTGTGGGCTAATATAAATGTAGGTTACTAAACAGTCCATGGCCTATGATCCTTAACTTTTAATGATTTCAAATTATCCTTATTAAGACTGATAAAATCCTTTTGAACTTGTTATAGTTAAGCTATGAATTCCCTATCATCTTCTGTACCTGGACTATTAGTTGGACTCCTGCTTCTTTCCCTGAAAGAGGGCTCCACTGACAAATGATTTAATAATTGAGGCAGAGGGGATTAGTCTCTGACATTAATTGGGGATTTAGCAGAATTTCTGAAAGTAGATTCACCTTGATTCATCATAGACTTACTTGTTAAAAGATCACTTCTAGATACACTTGTCATTTTTTATGGAGAAAGCTCCCCATTCTCTTGCATCTACTTTAATCTAAGTCTCTCCTATCTAATCTTTCCAAATTCTACTTTCCATCTAGAAGGCTAATCTTTTCCTCTCTTCCTTTTTGTTTGCTATGAACCCAAAGTTTTTTTAGTTCTGCTATTTTAGAGTGAAGATGATTGATAATCTGAGGGACTATTATTATCCTAATGAATTATGTTAAGGCTAATGTTATTCAGATGTTTTTAATTGCCTGAGACTATCCTTTATTTGCGTCCAGGAGATGATCTCATAAAAGGATCATCTTTCAAGAAGCTATTATATACTGACCCAGCTTGTTTCTTATTCTAAGTTGATAGTTATAAATTAGTAGCTAGACTTAAATTCTTAATAATCGTATCCCCAGTAGTTTTTTATCGTCTTTTCATTTATTTTTCTAATTCCTCCTACATCATTCTTTCTTTTTCTTTCTCCTCATGAATCTTTTCAATAGGACTCTTTAATTGAAGAATTGCTTATTTGTCTATCTTTTCAGGTTTTTACTTTTCTTGCTATTTGAAAGAGTATCCTTCATCCACTAGTTTTTCTATTTTTTGTCTCACAACAGTAAAAGTACTGGTGTAATTAGTAGGCATGAACTTTTTTAAAGTCATTTGAGTAGATTTTTCAATGTTATTTTTCTTATTCGGATCGAGAGATAAAATATTGTCATTTTCCATAGTCTACAGTCTTTCAATGAAATCTAAGAAAACTTTTTACTCATCAATCTAATGAAGCATTTATTTATATTGCCTATATTTCAAAAGCTTTGCTTGCTTTTCAAACAAAGCTTTTTACTTTTTAGGGTCAAAGCCTGTTCTTAAATGTGTAATAGTCTCCTTATTGTGTAATTCTTTGTATAACCCTTTTTAAACGATGTATTCATACAGATTCATTGCATTCTCGAGGTCATCTTTCTTATCTTGATTAGTAGCATCAACTGGACTATAGACTCCTTCATAATATCGAGTACCTTCAGAATTGTCGAGGCTTGGATCGAATATATGATGAAAAAACCTGTTTTGTCTGAGTTTTTTACGAACCAATTCAATATTATTATCCTCATAACGACCGCTAATTTTTAAACATCTGGGGATTTTGATTTGGCATATTTGAATGTCTCCCTCTGGGTAAATTTGAGAGAGTTGTTCTTTTACTAGCTCCTGTTTTAATTTCTAGGAGTTTATTGTATCCTCTAATGACATTGTTGGCTAATTAGGTTCGCTTATATTAGGTTGTATTGATCTAAATCTTTGTTTATAATATGGCTAAACTTAATTAGTATTGGTTACAATGAATCTATCTCTTAAAGTAGGCGAAGCGTTTGAAACTCTTTTTTTACTTAAGAGATTCATATAGCCAGTTTGTTAAGTTTGACTATCCATTATTATTTTAATTCTACTTGATTTCTGTTTATTTTATTTTCCAAATTCTTACATCCATACTACAGATGGGGTTTTGGGGTTTTGGGGTTTTGGGG